TTCCCGTCCCGATGCACGACGGCAATTCATTTTCACTGAAACCCTTCTGATTTTATCGTTTCGGAGTAATCCGACCCCCGCGGGACTTCACGACGACAGTTCGACTCCGAGAAAAACCTCGGCCAAGAAACGAGAGCCTCCTGTTCCGTCCGGGAGACTCAACCCTTACGGCCAAAAATCCTCGGCAACGCCCCTCCTAGAACTCTGATCAGCGACCCCGTACGGGAAGCTGCGAGGGGGCGTGAGGTTGCGTATCACAAGCACTCCGCTGTCGTTGTTTTGTAGTAGTCTTGCACTAGTCTTCTCCGAAACCGCCAAGACCTGGGGAGAGCAGAGAGAAAGCAGTCAGGGAACACGGCATGGTGGAGTTTCTGCATACCCCCTTAGAGGTTCTGTCGGTGATGGTACAAGAGTTCGCTGACAGAATGACCCAGTGGATGGAATTGGCCCTCTCACGGCCGTCATGCGGAAGTAAAGGAGACCTTCTCATTGTACCAGTCAGTTGGAAGGGAGGGACACCATTAATTTTTGAATTTCATGGGCGGTAATGACCAGTCTAGGATTGAGTTGTTTCATTGGCACGTATTGAAGCACTGAAACAAGTAGCTGCAAAATTGAAATTAGGGCTAGCCCAATTTCCTGAACTGGCTAAGGCCAATATGAACCTAACGCACCTGAAGCGCACTGCCGGCTGAATCTTAAACCACCAGTACACCACACGTCGGCCCGCGGGTGTCAGCACGAAACCCGCACCACTTCGGAGGCCGCCATTTTTTTTTTTCAACGGCGCCCCACACCGCGTGGCCCCTCCGGGTTTTGCTTGTGGCAACAAAAACTTTCTGCAAGGCTGGGGCCGTGTACTTGCGGTTTAAACAACCAGTACTTGGCCCAGCTATCGCCCGCAGGAAAAAAAAAGAGTAGAAGCATTTCTAGTCGGATGAATTTGGCCACTCCTGTAGTGGCCCGTACGTTTCCTAAAATCGTGGGTTGTTAACGGGCACACGGTGGTTCAAATGAAAGTTAAAAAGATGAGGCCATAAGGTGGAACCGATGAACCATTCAATTCTCTGGATTTTCGAATGGGGCAGAGAACTCCTAGACTTGTAGTACCTTTTTTTTGGGGCAGCAGCCTAGCAATAGGTGTGCAGCACTGGTATGGTTGTGTACACAGCCAGCAGACACCAAGGAGCCCAATCGATGGACTTGAACGAACAGGATTGTACTCGAATAGAACAACGTTACGGTAGATGATGGCTACATATCACAATATTACCACATTGCTCAAGCATAGAATTCCAGAACTCAGTGAGCAGGAACGTTCTACGCTACAGACCTTCTCCCTCGTACTGCTAAGGTCTGAGTGGGAGCGTATCCATCTTCTTCATACCGTTCTAGTCTCAGGACACGGGAATAGTGGTACACTTACTGCTTGGAAAGCAGCGCATGCACAAGCTTTCCCGCATGATCTATTTCTTAAAACCTTTAAAAAACTTGAAATCCATTCCATAGGTTCTCGACTCAGAAAAATGTGCCAACCATTCAGGACCTGTTTTCTGCGTTTCCAGACCCTGTGCAAAAATTCTGTGAAAAAATCCTACTCGAAAACGTGCCAACAACATACCTTTCTCGGCCTTTTGGCTAAGATCAAGT